TCTCCAAAACATTCAAATTAATTTTTGTTAGTCTAAACTTAAATGGTTTAAAATTGGTGTTTAATACTTTACATGTGTTCTTGGACCAAAGAAGTTGAGTATCAATTCAACCAAATTAGGATTATTATTAATTAGCAATCTATTCATTCACCGAAATTCATAACACATAGAACCTCTATTCATTCACCGAAATTCATAAATTAATCACATGCATGTTCCTCGAATTTGATCTACTTGACTCTTCTTCTTTTGTTGATTCTAACTTCACGTGATGCCTCCTGATCTATCTTCAACCTAACTAGTTTCGTTTCTTCAATATCAGTCAATCTTTTCCCAAACTGCGTTTTCTTGTTTAACAGATAACGAGCAAATGGTGCGATTTCATTAACCAGTCTCATAATTGTGCTTAGAGAAGAGAAGCGTTTATCATCATCATAAGTCATCTCCATTTTCTCATGGTCATCGAGTCCTATCACATAGGAAAGAGACGGTATAAACTGATAATAATCATGATCATGATCCGAACCGCAACACCCGTTTATCGAACCCATGACTCCCCATCCCTTAGCTATCACGTCGTACTCATGAACCACTCCGCGGTAACGCGTACGGTCAATCACCACTAAGCCTTCCCATCGTAAGCCGGCACGCTCCAATACTTGAGCTCCGTTTCGTCCACCACTCCTTTTCCGATCTGCCTCACTAGAACCCACTTGGGATCGGCGACTATATTCCCGAGGGCATAAACGTAAATCGCTTCCTTCGTCGCCGATATCAACGTTAGTTTGTTATCTGCGGCAGCTAACAGGATCTTCAAGCTTAGTTCTTGGGGGAAGTTGATAGGAATTATCACTCGTGCTCGCTCTGTTTCGGGATTGAAAGCTACGATGCTTCCGTCGTTAGTTTCTCAGCCAGTGAAGAGATCCGTTTACGTAAACAGATTTCATACCGGTCATGAGGTTGCTTGAGCGACAAGTAATAGTAGATTCCGACAATTTCCAGCAGGAACCTCCGGCGTTGATCTCGAACTGATACATCGTTTCTTCGGGATTTGAAGCCTTCATAGTTTCAGTTAGGCAAACAATTTTGAATCTCTGAGAGTTTCCATCGATCTTATCAACCGCGAACCCGGTACGATTCGTTTGGTTCCATCTAAGTTTATATCTTGTGTTCCTCCTATCAAGAACAGTCTCAGGCTTTTAAGCTTTGATTCAGAGTAATCGAGGAACCGAAAACTCTTTGTGAGGGGGATTCACGACGCAGAGACCATTGACGAAAAGTAAGAGAAGGCCGGAACAAGAGCCGAGAATCTGAGACGGGATCTCTATTTCGGTTGTCCAAGAATAGGTATAGAGGCAGGAAATATAATTTGAGCCAATACTGGACATGTGAATCAAACCGGTTCCGACACGTACGAGATAAGTATTCGGATTTGAAATATTGGTCGTCGGATATATGCGAGTTGGTAGATTTATCCGTGCATTGCATCATCACCAGAGATATGGGATTCAATCTGAAGAGAATCTCTTCGACTAGATGGAGAGGTAAGCTATCCATGAGCGGACAAGAAAAGAGAATACTAGTCTTCTCTATGAATACTTCTTGCTTGTGATTGATGTTGGTAAGTAGGTATGTATTTTATAGACGTGATTAACTATTGGGTTGATTACATAATGAGATACTTTTTCATGTTTTCATTACATTAAAGACACTTTCCAATTCTGAAAGCACTTCTTAAAGTTTCAGTACAAATAATACCAATTTTACCCTCAATTTTTTTTAACAATGACAAGTTAAAACTCTACCATTTAGTTACACCAATTCAATCATGGCCGTTGATTATATTAAAATATCCAATGGCGGATTTTTTTTGCTTTTTTCAAACATCACGTTTTCCCAATTTGTCTGATTATCTTCTTCCTCTGTCTCCTTCGAATCGAAACCTAGCAAATCAAATTTCGTCTCTGAGATTGAAATTCCTCCTTCCTAATGGTGTAAATCTATACAAATTTCAACCATGAACACTTTTTGTTTCTTTAGAAGATCTTGTCTTGCTCTTTTTAGTGATGGGTCGTAGTAATCGTTGAAGTTGTCGAATCCTAAGACGCCGTCTCCATCAACGCGAGTGAGGCGTGGGGTCCGACGAAACCGGCGGCTCCGGTCACGAGGACAGAGAGACCGTGAGGTCTTTTTGCGGTCGAGGATTGTCTCACGAGCAGCTCCTTCGCGAGCAGAAGAAGAGGAAGAGAAGATTCCGGTGGATAAGAAGCTACGACGGTGGAGATGGTGAGCTGCGGCGGCATGACTATCGGAGAGTGATGGATAATTGATAGCGAAGACGAGGATGAGGACTAGAGCCACGAGAAGGGGTTGCTGCGAAAGTAAAGGGGAAAAGAATTTCCTTATTTTGGAAGCACCCTCCATTATCAAACAATGACAGTTAGTGTTCTTCTCAACATCATCATCTACATTCTACATCTTTGAGCACCCTACCATCCACATTGATCGTTGACCACCTGGATTGTTACCGTGACCATGTTTATCTTGAAACTAGTGGATTGTGGTTTTGTATCGCTCAAAGTTGAGGAAACAACACAATAGTCCACATGTGGTCATGTTTTAATAGTTACGTATCATTCAATTTGTAAGTTATCCATTGTACATTGCACAATAGTTTTCACAAGAATGACCAAATGTTCGAATCAGAATGGACTAATTCTCTTGGATGACAATCCACAAGTGAGATCCTGAAAACATCATTTATTAATTTTTGCTTTGATGAAGGGGAAAAAATTCAATTTAAAGATTGAATACCAGTAAATTAAGAGAACATCATGCTGAAAGTAAGGCAAATATACATTTACATCAATGTATAAGATTGGAGTTAAAGATGCAAGATGAAAGCTTATATGTCTTATTGTTATAACCATGACGAGCTTAGTATCTCATCAGTTCTTGATGCATAAAACCTCATATTCCTTGTCTCAAATAAGCCAATTGATCTAGGCCCTTGTTGTATCGCCACTAGCTCTTGTCGATTTACTTGTATGTAATCTACATCAACTGCAAGTTTTAGCTCGAAGACTACAACCAAACCAGATCCTTCAAGAATTGCAACAGTAGCACTATGAAGAAATATTTATAAAATCCAGATGCAAAATCCAGAGCCATTGTGATGATGGTACCTGATGTAATATCCAGAAAAAAAAAAATTCAAAGGAGATTAGCATAAAAATGTTCAAAGATAGATATCTATATTGTCATGTTCAAAGCCCTGACCATGAACCCGTGGATGATTTATTTATGGACATGTTTATTTTAACCATAATATTCTGACCAGAATACCTTGACCATTTGTAACTATCGAAGCTAAAAACCTCATACCAATGGACAAGAACACCATTTGTATCTCCTTTAAACCCAGAATCCCTACTTTTGATGAGAAATTCTGGATTAAACTATTGATTCCTCGCATTTACCGATCAATCAAATCACTCTTAAATCCACTATAAACCTAACTATGTTTCAGATTGCTCAAACGCTCAACAAATTTCTCCTGAAATTAACCAAATCTAAATCATTTTTTACACTAATCTACTACCAAATGAACAGATTAACCAAGTCTAAATCATCTTCAACTGTTGCCCTAAATTTCCAAGTGTCGTGTGCTCATCTCCACATATGAATTTCGCCTATGAAGGATCCTCCTTAACATTTATCTCGCCATCGCCATCCTCATCTGGCTTGTATCCAAAAAACAAGTCAAGACATATTCAATAATTAGAAGAAAGATGTTTACAGTCAAAATTGATAGAAATCAACCCGATATTAGATCTTACTTGAACTCTCAGCGCCGGAAACCACCATTGTTACTGTCGCTGGAATTGGCAGAATACAAGGCGAGAAGTCGAAGAAGAAAAGAAGTAAATCTATTTTTTTTTTACTTCTCAATTTTATATAAAAGGGAAATGGAAGTATCTGTAACTAAAGGGAAAGTATAACCAAACTAAACCGCTAACGAGAATTAAAGAAAAAGATAATTAAAAATCTGTTGTTTGCGGAAAGTAAGGGTAAAAGAGAGAAAGAACATGTGCTTTTTTTTTGGGTATTTAGCTCAAATTCCATG